TTACCCCTACAAATTTGTGCACCAGGCCTCTAGTGACTAATATAAATATATACTGACTTCCCTTTAACAAGGCATGTTTAGTCTTTTCTCCACCTAATGTTGGAGAATCCAGGAGTTTGTCCCCTCATAACCAAAGGCACACACCTTCAAGAGAGCTAACCAGATTCAGAATGTGGTGTGCATTTAAAACAGAAAGAAGCTAACTGCAATTAAACTCTTGAGTGATAAAGAAGGAAGTTTTAAGGCTTTTATAAAGATTTCAACTCAATGTGAATCTATAAAATATGAAGTGTCTACTTAACATAGGTTTAATAAACTTAAATCACTAAGATATAAAACTAAAAATATAGTAATATAGGAAAAGTTTAATATTAAACAACAAATTACCGAATCAATCTTGTGTATCATATTGTACGCTTTCAATGATTTGTCCCATTTAATTCTAATTTCAGGCTTGTAGAGGAAATCAGCTAGTTTAGATGCTGATTCTGAAATTATTCCTTCAACACGATATCTATAGTTAACAAAATAAAGAAAATTCAAAATTTAATTCAGTCTAAGTTGAAAATATAATGTCATAGTATAGCACAGACTAATTTAGCAATCAACAGTAAAGAAAATTTGAGGGTCATATCAGCAATTCAAAACACTAATATTCAATTAGAAGTAGCAAGGTTTATTTAAATATATATTACAATAATTAATATAAATTACTTCAAAGTTCATTTTTCTAAAAACTTTGTTTATAATGTTTCTGAAGATTTTTTAAATTTTTTTATTATTATTATTATAGATTGTTATTGATTTCAGAGAGGAAGGGGGAAGGGAGAGATAGAAAGATCAATGATGAGAATCATGGATCGGCTGCCTGCTGCATCACCCCACACTGGGGATGGAGCCCGAAACCCCAGCATGTGCCCTGGCCAAGAATCAAACCATGACTCCCTGGTTCATAGGTTTATGCTCAATCACTGAGCCATGCCAGCTGTGCTGTAGTTATTTTTCTAGAGGGGCAAATTTCATTTAGGATTTTTCTAAAATCTTTCTTATAAACATTTATCTGCTGTGTTTATAATAAGTCAACAGTAATTGATATAGAAGTTTGTGTGGCTATGCAGCCCCTTTCAGCCCCAATTCTTAATTTAAGTATGTAATGAGGTATAAATGAGAGGCCAGCAAACTTTAAATTCTAGATACATATATGCCACTGGATTCAAAACAATAATTACAAATAGGAAATTGTACTTACATATTTCCATGGAATATTTTAGAAGCCTTGCTAGAAACAGTTATTTTTTTCTCAAAGGGAAGAAAAAAAATTAACAAATAAGTTAGCTGTCAAGTACAGGGGAAAAAAAAGGAAATAACAACAACAACATAAAACAAAGCAAAAGTAAATGGTTTGTTTGTAAAAAAAAAAATTTTTTTTAAATCAACTGTTTCTCATTTAAAAACAAAAATTTGAAACATATTTGTTTTCTTACTGAAGATTTAACCACTTTCCAGCCTGCTGTATCTTGACTGTAACCTAAAATATCTTGAGCAGTTTGTTGGGCAAGTACCTTATAGTCCATCTGCCTGCAAAGTTTTAAAAAGAAATGATTGGTAAGAATGTGATCATGCAACGGCGTTTTAAAATGCTGTTACATTTGATTACTGTTTCTACAGTGCCGCTCACAGGGCAATGAACAGTAATTACTTGTTGAATGCCCGCAGGCAAGAGTCCCTTCCTCCCTGTTCGCAATGAGAAAATGTGGATGTGGCATCCTACAAAGGCTAGGCTCTGGACTCAGAGACCCAGCTCACTTCCTGTCTCTGCCATGGGCTAATTGTGAACCACGTTATGTGATATTTCTGTTTCCCCGTTTTCTCAAGCTTTAAAACTGGGATAGTACCTAACCCTGTAGAAGTGATGTGAGGATTAAGTGCGATAATGCACTTAAATGTCCTACCCCATTGCTAGGCATATAACCACCAAAAAATCATTATTCTTTCTATCAGCTTAATCATGCTTTTTTGCTTTTGTAAAGCACCACAATCTGTTGACCAGGTGTTCTTGGAAATTAACCTTTTTAAAGTGAGTGGCAGTGGCTCTAAATGATGTGACCCCTGGCTTCCTCTCCAACGGGAACTCCTGTCTTCGACTCTCCCACTTAGCTGTTGTTCCTCAAAAGCAACTAAGCATCTTCCTACCTCAGGGCCGTTGTACTTGCTGTTCCCTCTGCTTGTAACACTCTTCCCCAATATGGATGGATGACTGCTCTTCACTGGCGTCTTTGTTTAAATGTCAGACGGGATATAAAGTTAGAATCAATTCAGTAGGGGTTAGGTATTGAGGTAGGTGTGGCAAATACGGTTGAGTAAGATATTGTTTCTGCTGTGAATGAGCTCAGAAACTGGAGTCTCATCGATCCTTTGGCCCATCACCTAGTTTTCAGTTAAGAGAAGCTGGCTGGTGTGGTGGGAAGAGGGTGACAACACAGAGCTGGATTCAAATCCTGCCTTTGCCACTCACACCGGCTATATCATTTTGGATAAATTGTTTAACTTGAATTTCAACTTTCATATCTATGCCTTTTCTTCATAGACACAAATAATAATACCTATCTCATGGGTTCATCGTAAGGATTGAGTTAATATGTGTAAAAGGGATTGAAACAGTGTGGAGCCCCTTCTTGGTGATCAAAAAGGTTAGTTTCTGTTCTTAAAATGGACACATCTAGAACTACCTTTTAAAGAAACTCTCCAAAGAGCTGCCTCACTAAACCTTCTTAACGTTTAATTATCAGGACATGTCTTCCTTAGCTCTCACCTAAAGCTCTTTAGGTTGGAACGTAAATCTATTTTCTCCTGTTTAGTTCTCCACCAAGGCATGACACCTGGCTGACATCTCTACTTGAAAAGCTTTCATAAACCACCGTAACTCCTCTTTCCTAGTAGATTCTTAGTTTCTTTATCTTTCCTAATAGATCTAGTCCAGAATTTTAATAACTATTGGGACTCTTCTCCAAATCCTCCTGGAGGTCTCCATACCTCTTAAACTGTTAAGGAACAAAGTGGAAGTAGAATTATTTTGATCCATGAATTACGTCAATTTATTTGATATGTTCCTTTATATCTTCTCAGCATCCTTTATTTACACTTTATGCTCTTATCAGGAAACATGTGCACATTACATATGCTCCGAGATGGAAGAAAAAGGTAGTAAGTGAAACATTAAAGATACTGTCAATGAAAAGAACTGTTCAATTATTTTAAAGAATGACAGGTTAAAAAACATTTAGGTGGAACGTGGATTTAAAAAGTCTAACTTTTTAAAAATATATATTTCAGAGAGGAAGAGAGAGGGAGAGAGAGATAGAAACATCAATGATGAGAGAGAATCGTTGATCGGCTGCCTCCTGCAGGCCCTCTCCTGGGAATCAGTCCCGCAACCCAGGCATTTTCAATTATTTTAAAGAATGACAGGTTAAAAAACATTTAGGTGGAACGTGGATTTAAAAAGTCTAACTTTTTAAAAATATATATTTCAGAGAGGAAGAGAGAGGGAGAGAGAGATAGAAACATCAATGATGAGAGAGAATCGTTGATCGGCTGCCTCCTGCAGGCCCTCTACTGGGAATCAGTCCCGCAACCCAGGCATGTGCCCTTGCCAGGAATCGAACCCAGAACCCTTCAGTCTGCAGGGGAGGCTCTACCCACTGAGCCAAACCGGCCAGAGCAAAAAGCCTAAGTTTTTAGGCTCATGCCATTAGCAGTCTGTGGCTGGCCCCTGACCTGGATTTGTCTCAGTAAATATGTTATTTCCAACCAGCAACATACATGATATTGACTGCTTTAGGAATTGCACAGATGATAGTAACATACCGGTAGAGTGTCAATCGCAGGGGCTCTGTCCTATTCGTTGTCAAATCACCTAGCACTTACTGCCACAATAAACATGTTTAACTGAACCACTCAACGGAATGTTATCGTTTCTGGATGTTTTTCATTTGCTAAGAAAAAGGGGAAGATTAAGTGCAGGGAGCTAGAGAGGATGAAAACAAGAGAGCAAACAGCAAGAATGCCCTGCATCACCTGGTGGCGGGACATGGGCCGCGCGGAGTGTGTTCCGCTGGAGTAACCCCGGTGTCTTCGCCCGCAGGGTCAGTGGGAAGGAAGCCTCCGCCGACAGCGCGATGGCATCTTTTTTGATCCACCACCTGGTTGAAACTGGATTCTTCGCTTCTCAGAGGCTGAGGCAGCCTTGCAGACGGCTCACACACGTTGTTACGTGGGTCTTTACATCGGTTTGTACAGCATCATCTCCCTCTTCCCGGGCTGCCTACCTGGCTCCCCCATCCGCACTGGGTCGCTGCCATTCTTCCTGGGAATCCAGGTCCCCACGGAGTTGGCTGGATCCCAGCCCTCCGTCCTCCCATCCCGCATCTGCCTTGAGTGTGAGGGGCTGGGCAGCCTCGGAGGGCCGGGCTCGGGGAGAAAATGGGGAAGTGACTGGGGAGGGAGGGGAGGCAGCGGTCGGGGACGCTGCCCCTGGCCCAGGTTGATGCCTTATCCCGGAAAGGGGTGCTCTGAAAGCGGGGAGACCAGCTCACTTGGAAGAACTGGGGAGGTGGGGCCGGCGCTCGGAGACCCGAAACGTCAGCCGCACGCGCCCCAGATCTCCCCGACCGAGTCTCCTCACTCAGCCCCGGGAGCCGGCTGGAGGAGGCACGGCCGGTCATCCGCGCAGACTGGCCACCAGCAGCGGAGACGGAGGTGGGGGGAGGGCGTGCGCTGCAGCGACCTGGACGTACGTAGTATGTGGACGAACACCCACCCCAGAGAGAGGCGTGGGGAGAAACTACACTTCCCAGCAGGCAGCGCGACCGAACGCCCGCGGCGCCGCGTTCCCCTCCGCCATTTAGCATCATGTTTCCAAGGTTCACCCACATTGTAGCACGTGCACCTCATTTATTATCGCCCGGTAATATTTTGTGGTGTGGATATACCACCGCCATGTTGGGTCAGTTTGAAAGCCCGCGCGGGCGTTGCGCTCCGCTGTGACGGCGGAGGATGCTGCGAGCGAGCGGAGCCTGAGGCGCGGCGGGGTCCGACCGGGATGCTTTGTTGCGTCTCCCGCCGGGCTACAAGCCTGGGTTCTCGGCGGGCAGTTGTGAAGTGTGCGTGTTTATTTCTCTCTCGTCCGGACCTTTGTCGGCGAGTTCGGCCCGAAAAAAGGGGGAGGGAGAAGGGTTTCGAGGGCGACCGGTCCTTTGACAGCCCGAGGGAAAGGCTCCGGGAAGGGTGGCGGGGAGGGAAGGGGAAGGCGACTCTTGCGGGAGGGCGCCTGCGGAAAAGGGACAGTTATAGGGGGAGGATCGCGGACCGGGACCGAGGTACCCGACCTGGGTCTCGGGGAATCGAGGTGCCGACTGAAGTGAGGGGGTGGGCTTTTGGGGCCGTCACCCCGAGGATCTCGGTCGCTCCCCGTTCGCTCCCAAGGCTCTAATGCTCTGGCCTGAAGCCCTGTCTGATGGCGGGGGCCCCGAAGGCAGGGCGTGTCCGGGGCGGGGCGCGGGCCCCCCGGCCGCCCGCTTACTCCTCCTCTCCTGCCGGGGAGGAGGCGCCAGTGCCGGTTCGCCCCGGAGTCGTGGGGTCTGAGGCCCGTTCCCTGAGGGTGAGCCGCTCCCGGCGGCGACTCGGTGCGGAACACGGTGTTTCCGAGTCGGAGGCGGCTGGCGGTTCCTGCGTTTCCCGTTCTGCTCGGGGTGATGGGTTTCCCTAACGGCGCGGATACGCACGGGTGTTGATGGAAGAAAAAGATGCTGGGGGTTTCCTGCCAGATCCCCCGGGGGAGAAGTGCGGGTCTGTCGGGCACCGTTTGAAGCCGAGTGACAGCTGCAAAGGGGGTGGTTAAGTATTTCTTTCTACATTTGTTTCCTTTCGGGAGCTTTGCACAATGGTAGTTGGAGTGCCCCGCCCCCCCGGGTAGCCCAGTGCCCGTGGCAGGACCCCAGCTGCAGGCTGACCTGCTGGCGGGAGCTCTGCCCCCTGGTGGTCAGCGCCGGGCACAGCTAAGGGTGGAGGGGTCGCTTAGGCTTTCCAGGTCCATCCTCTGTAAGGAGTTGGTTCTCAACCTTCCTAATGCCGGGCCCTTTAATGCAGTTCCTCATGTTGTGGTGACCCCCAACCATAAAATTATTTTTGTGGCTACTTCATAACTGTAATGTTGCTACTGTTATGAATCGTCATCCTGATAGGCAGGATATATTTTCATTGTTACAAAATGAACATAATGAAAGCATAGTGATTAATCACAAAAACAATATGTAATTATATATGTTTTCCGATGGTCTTAGAACGTATTAAGTTCTAGACATTAATGTTTTATTTTCAGTACAGAAAACCCATTGATTTACTTTTAAAACAATGTCACATTGTGCACTGAAGTAGTGCCTGTTCATTCTGTTATTTCTTAGGGCTTCAAATATAGATCTTGTTATTGTTATACTAAGGTAGACAGGAATTCTGCCCATTTTAGTGATGTAAAAACAGTAAGATGAATACATTGTCAGTTTTCTAATTATTTAAGCCTCCATTAAACAGAGGTAGTCTGAATCTGTTTAATGTAAGAATTGAATATAGTGAGATAGCACCAAAAATGAAGGTCAGAAAATGATTATTAACTAAAGGCCCGGCCTGGCCTGGGCCCTCTCACTATTCAGGACCCCATCAGTGTACAGTCCGGCCAGGGAGGAACCGAGGAAGGGCTCCAGGGCGGGTCCGGCTCATCTAGCCCAGTTCCTATCAGCAGGACCCAAGCAGCAAGCTAACCTACTAGTTGGAGCGTCTGCCCCCTAGTGGTCAGTGCACATCATATAACGGGAGAACGGTCACTTGGGCTTTTATATAGATAGATGTTGTTTTAGAAAAAGCATTTTGCCCGTTCATTTTATGGTATGACTTGTAGTTTATTTCTTTATATTTTATTCTCAAGTCTCTTTGGGGTGAAGGAGTTGGCTAAAGTTACGTATTGGTATTTACAACATTCACCACTGTTCCTTGTTGTTAATACCACATTTGATGCATTTAAAAATTTATTGAGGACCTACTCTCTGTAGTGCATAGTGGTAGGCTTATGAATTGAGAAGTATTATGTATAAGGGAATGTTAAGTATTGTGATGTCATAGAATATATCACCGTAAGAAAAGACTGTAAATCAGTTGTTTTAGGACGTTTAAAAAAAGTGAGTACCCTTTCCTTCCTATACTTATGCGTGTTCTCAGATAATCTTTGTATACATAATTCCAGGCACATAGTAAGTACTTAATAAATGTGTTCTAAACAAATGATGACAGAATTCACAGTAATGAAAATAATAAAAAATCTACAATGTGTATTGCCTTTAAAGGATTTATAGGTAATGGGTTTTATTCTTTAAAGAAAATTATAAAAAGTTTACATATTGAATAATTTCTTTGTATATGGCTATTCTTTTAGTTGGAACCTTAACCTTTTGTTTTTGTATTACAGTGGTTTCTAAGAGAAATGAACAGAAATAACTCACTTTGAGGAAGGCATGGCAAAACCAAATACAAAACACAGAGTTTGTTCTCGGGAATCTTCAGTATCTTCTCTGTTAGCAAGCTGCAGCCTCAGTGGTAGTAATTCCTCTACCGCTGATGGCTCTGTTCAGTATAAGGATAAACTGTACAGTTCTGCATCTCAGGCTCTACAGGCCTATATTGATGATTTTGATCTAAGCCGGATGTATCCTGGTGTAAGCACTGGAAAGATTAACATTGGTAAATGTCCTGCTAATATGCCAGAATTCTCCAACTATATTTATAAACCAAACCATGGTATGCTTTTATTGTTTGTTTTCTTTTGTCCACTGACTTAAATCATTTGAAAGATGTGTTGTAGCCTTTGAAATCCAGATGCTTTTTTTATTCTTTTGGGGTAAAAATTACTTTTATAATGTTGAGATCTGAATATATTTCTTAAAGGACTGTATACTTATCTGGTACTTAGGAATTTTCAGCTAAGATCCCCTTGCAACCTTGGAGTGGAAGCTGATGAATTACAGCAGGTGGCTGGTCCTAAATCCTTAAGATGTTTATTTTAGCATCATAGAAAAAGTGTTGTCTTGGTGGTTTTAGTTTTCATTTACTAGCTTAATGACTTAAGTGAATCGCAGCCTTTCTTAGTTTATACTTGTTCCTATGCAATTGATTGCAAAGGATTGTATTAGTCTTCCTGATCTCTATTCTATGGAATAATAATATTCACACTACATTGAGTTTTTCCTTGATAAGGCTTTTATGAAGACAAATTTGGAATGAGTCTGTTGATAACCAGTTACTGAGCACTTATGAAGTAGCCCTAGTATGGAAAAAGTTTGCATTCAAATTTTAGAAGGATATGGGCACTATTCCAGAGGAGAATTAGAACAGCTATTTGCTATTGCAGAGTTAGTAAAGAAAGCAAATTATTTTTCACCTAATTTATTCACAAACTTTTCCAAATCCTGTGTTGCAGCCAGTATTGAGTGACCAATATTAATGTGAGTGTGTCAGTGGATTGTGTATGTCTAGATCAGTGGTTCTCAACCTTCCTAATGCTGCGACCCTTTAATACAGTTCCTCATGTTGTGGTGACCCCCAACCATAAAATTATTTTTGTTGCTACTTCATAACTGTAATTTTGCTAATCATAATGTAAATATCTGATATGCTATATGTGTTTTCCGATGGTCTTAGGCGACTCCTGTGAAAGGGTCATTCGACCCGCAAGGGGTCGCAGCCCACAGGTTGAGAACCGAAGGCACAGTGATTAATCACAAAAACAATATGTAATTATATATGTGTTTTCCAATGGTCTTAGGCGACTCCTGTGAAAGGGTCATTCGACCCCCAAAGGGGTTGCAACCCACAGGTTGAGAACCGCTGGTCTAGATGAAAAAAGTGGAAGAAACAGTAAATTAAAGAACATGGAAAAAGTCAAGAGGGTGTAGAGATAAGGGTAGAAATTAGTTAAAACAAATTGATATGTGAGGGGGGAAAGCACATTCTATTTCATCAACCTATCCCTTTTATTCTTTTAATCAAAACTTTATTGAAGATCATGGGAAAGTAGCAAAAATGGTTCTTTAATTCTTATTTTTTCCTTAAATTCTTAATTCTCATTTACTGTTGGATATTTTGAAGTGTTTTTATATGTGATATGGGAAGATAAACAGAAGTATGCTTTGTTTTTCAGCTTTTGAAAAATTTCATCACAAAAAAAGCTCCTTGTCCTCATCTTCTAGAAGACGGACTATTAATGACATAGACTCCATTAGCCTAACAACTGATGATCTGTTAAAACTTCCAGCAGATGGATCATTTCCTTTTACTTGTGTTGGACCAGGTCATCAAGTTACCAAGAAAACCAAGAAATGCATTGGAAGACTGAGTTTATCAGACACTGAAAAGAATCAAAATTTTCAAGAACCCTGCATTGCCAGAAGCAAGGATAACTTAGTTACTCCTGTGGTATACACAAATATAAATGGAAAGCAGTGTCATAAGCTAAAAAACCTAAAACTTGTGAATAAGACGAATAAATGTGTTTCTGAACCATCTTTTTTTAAGAAATCATCTTTCAAGGACAGTTCAGAACTCGATTTTGAAAAGAATTACCCAAGATGGCTCACTGGCCATAAATCTGACCTTAATGTTTCAGGGATAACTAGTATACCTGATTTCAAATATCCAGTCTGGCTCCACAATCAAGACTTGCTACCTGACACAGATAGACAAAGTATTTATAAAATATTTAAAGACGAGCATTGTTCCCCAAGACATAGTTATCAGGCACAAAGAACTTCTCGACCTATGAATAAATTAGATTGTTTTGAATATTCTTTGGAACCCTCAAATATTTCAGATTTCTTGAGTGGTGATAAAAGATTTGTTAATGAATATAAATGTGATTCTGAGCATAGCCAATGTCATTGTGAGAATCCACTTCTTCCAGGACAATCCAAAAAGCCATTCAATGGTAATTGTTTTTTGTTTGCTTTTAAGAATCAAAATGCTGTAAATTTGACCTAATATCTAGTAGCTTTTATGTTATATTCTTGATGTAATGATCAGATTATATATTTTTTGAACTCTTATGGTTTTCATTTTAAGTAGCATTTTATAACTAGAAAATATCTACTTTTATTTCTTTGAAATGTCACATTTTGACATAATTTGCTGATAAAGATGTGTAGAGGAGGTATCCCAAAAAAATGTATGCATACTTTAACAGCTGATAGCTCAATTTTGAAAATGAAATGTATTTTTTTAAATATATTTTATTGATTTTTTACGGAGAGGAAGGGAGAGGGATAGAGAGTTAGAAACATGAGTGATAGAGAAACATTGATCAGCTGCCTCCTGTACACCCCCTACTGGGTATGCGCCTGCAACCAAGGTACATGCCCTTGGCCGGAATTGAGCCTGGGACCCTTGAGTCCGCAGGCCAACGCTCTATCCACTGAGCCAAACCGGTTAGGGTGGAAATGAAATGTATTTTAATAAACACTGCCTTTATAATTATTCAAAGTGTATGTATACATTTTGGGGGGCACCCTGTATGTATACCAAGTTATCTGAATCCTTGTTGCTTTATGAGATTTTGCCATGCTTTGCATTTATTTTTTTTCTTAATTAATGTAGTCTTTTAAAATAGGTGACAAAATTGAATTACTTATCCTGAAGGCCAAGAGAAATCTAGAGCATTGTACTAAATTACCAAAGTCGATGAAACAGGATGATAGTCCTTGTTCATTAGATAAACTGGAAGCAGAAAGATCGTGGGAAAATGTGCCTGTTACTTTGTAAGTATGTTTTAATGGAAAAGTCATGTAAGGTCATTAGTTTTCCATATGAAAAATATATGAACATCTAATTTATTTTTATATAACTTCATTATAACTAGCAATGTAAAGACATGGTAAATCTGTAGAAAATGGTGTTCGGTGTTGCTTTGCTTGATATTATATTTTTCATTTGTTACCACAAGATCGTGGGTTATTTCATAACTTAGGTACATTATGTAACTTTTGTTTTTGTTACAGTTCCTTTTGTTGTGCTATAAAATATTGATATATGTTTACTGTGAGGAATTAGAACCAAAAGCAACTATTTGTAGAAGGAGGAGGGCGGCTATGGAAGTCTTGTTACTTTCTACTATATTCTCTCCATATATTAAGAGTTATCTATTTTCATTTACTTTTACTTTCTCTTTCAGTCGTTATTTTCCGTAAATGATGGTCCATTTTTATATTGTATAAATTTTTATAATTTCTAAGATTATTTTCATTTGTATATTTAACATTTCAATGACAGTTTCTCAGAATAATTTAAGAAGTGTTCACCTAGATAACTGAATGTGAACTTAGAGTAAGGATTAGGAGTTTAGATAGGAAAGCTTTTTTTAGTGATATTATTATATCTAGACTTATTAGAAATGCATTCTTGGTAACCCTATATCCTGCCTTAGTTTCTGATATTTATTATATTCAGTTGTCTAAACTTTTATTTTGTCATAGATGGAGTTTATTAGTTAATGGATCCTTTTTTGGTTCTCAAATGTCTTTTTTATTTTTATTTATTTATTTTTAAATGTGTGCACTGACTACAATACTGGTTTGGAATTCCAGCTCTGTCAGTTCTTCCCTGAGATCTTGTACAAGTTTTGTCTACTTTGTATAATTCTGCTTTGTACAAGGTCTTGTACAAGTTCTTTTGCTTTGGCGTTTTTGTGTGAGGATTCAATTAATTAGAAAAGAAATACAAGGTACTTAAGTCAGGATATGGTAATCTCGTAAATTGTAATTTGGTGATTATTCAAAATACATTTTTTCTTTGTTTAGCTTTATTTTTCAACTAGAGGCCCGATGCACAAAATTTGAGCAAGGTGCTCGGCCCCCGCAGCCCAGGCTTCATCCGGAAGGACATTGGCTGTCCGGTCTAATTAGCATGTTATGCTTTTATTATTATAGATTGTTGGTTCAATAATATTTTTTTAAATGAGTCAATAGATCTAATTTTTAAATTTATCTTTATTTTTTTAAAATATATATATTGATTGATTTCAGAGACAGAGAGAGAGATAGAAACATCAATGATGAGAGAGAATCATTGATTGGCTGCCTCCTGCACGCCCCCTCCTGGGGATTGAATCTGAAATCTGGGCATGTGCCCTTGACTGGAATCGAACCTAGGACCCTTCAGTCCAAAGGTTGACACCCTATCTATTGAGCCAAACCAGCTAGGGCTATTTTTATTTAATTTCTCTTTATCAGTTGTCCTGTGTATTTGTAGAGTACCATAGCTGCAATACTTTGCTTTCAGTTGGAACCCAAATGGGTGTGCAAATAATATCAGAGATATTTAAGGGTAAAAATTTTAATGTAGTTTATAATTAGATAATATAACTTCTGGCTAGTATAATTATTATCACCAGTGGTTTGGCCCAGTACTTTGTATACAGTAGTTGATGTTTTGAAAATTGGGTTCATATAGTGATGGGTATGTTTGTATTTAAAATTAATGATGGATTGTGAGATGAAGGAATAGACCTAGCCTTAGTATGACATTGACAAATTATTATCAATCTGTCATAAAAAAAATTGGCCCTAGCCAGTTTGGTTCAGTTGATAGAGCGTCACCCTGTGGACTGAAGGGTCCCAGGTTCGATTCCGGTCAAGGGCACATGCCCAGATTTTGGGCTTGATCCCCAGTAGGCGGCGTGCAGGAGGCAGCCAATTAATAATTCTCTCTCATCATTGATGTTTCTATCTCTCTCTCTCCCTTTCTCTCTGAAATCAATAAAAATATGTATTTTTTAAAAATTGACCTGGATGTACTCAAAGTAATATACTAAAAGATGGAGTACAACTGCAATCAGATAATTGCTTTTTTTGTCTTAATGGAAAATTCCAAAGAAATACAAAGTAGAAGAGTAGCATAATGAATCCTTATGTACCCAGCACCCACCTTCAATAATCAGGTAAATGCTTTTGATAATGGTGGGTGGGTGTATAAACTCTTATAAAGAATTAGGGAAAAAACTACTGAAGAACAATAAAAAGCTGAGTTACAAATTAAATGAGTTAATAATGAATTGCTACTAATGAAGAAAAATTATTGTGAAATTTACATGTTATAAAGATACTTAGATATCTGAGTACTTGAGTTAGAAACACATCTCATATTGATATATATATGTGTGTGTGTGTGTGTGTGTGTGTGTATATATATATATATATGTGTGTGTGTGTGTGTGTGTATATATATATATATGAAAGATAGTATGAGTTTATTTTCTGTGACTAACAGAATCTGGTTTGGGGAAAATTCTTACTTTTGCTAGGGATGCCCTTTTTTCTGCTACCCCTTAAATTAAGAAAAAATTAATATTTATTGAGCATCTATTAAAGGTACCAGGTACATGGCGTTAATTTATGCAGTACTTCTGTGAGATAAGTAGGACCACAAATGTAGAAATTGAAGTTCAGATAAATAAGTTACTTAAGGTCATATAGTGACTGGGTTTGGGATTTGAATTTAGAAATTATAATTTCAAATTTGATTATTTTCCCACTCTAACCTGTTTTATATGTTAATGCCAGTTCTGGAGTGGGGCATCTGTCCTATTGCTTTGATGTGGCAGAAAGTATAACTGCCATCCCAGTAGAAAATCTTATAAATTCATGAGAGTTTTGTGTATTATCATTGGGTAACTAACAGTGTTTAATTGGGAAAATGTCCTGCTTATTTGAAACAAGTGAGCTTTCAGAGCATAGCCTGTAGTTGATGGGTTATTTGTTTAGTTGAAGACTAATGTCTTCAACTTTTTAAATATAATTTTATTACTGATAGAAACATCAATGATGAGAGGGAATCATTGATCAGTTGCCTCCTGCATGCACCACTCTGGGGATCAAGGCTGCAACGTTGGCATGTGCCCTGGCTGGGAATGGAACTGTGATCTCCTGGTTCATAGGTTGGCGCTCAATCACTGAGCTATGCCAGCCAGTCCAAGTTTTTTTTTCTTGAAGCTTTAAAGGAGAAGCAAGGAAATAGGGTTAGATTCTGGTATAAATTCAGGAAGATGAGAGAATTATCAAGCAACATCAATATGAATCATATCTATAACAGTTATTTCTTGGTGACCATTTATATTTAAATGATAACCATTCAATTATATACTGTCTAATTTTTATAAATTGGGAACTTAATTGCTATCTTGTCTCTTAAACCCTATGTAGTAAATCTCCTGTTCCTATTAACTCTGATGACAGTCCTCAACAAGCTCCAAGGACAAAGTATGCTAAAAGTTTCCTTGAAGACTTTTTAAATGATGATGATCAGGTGGGTGAAGTTAAATCTTTTTAACTTATTAAAAGACTAGAAGCCCGGTGCACAGATTTGTGCACTGGTGTGGTCCCTCGGCCTGGCCTGCACCCTATTGCAATCCAAGACCCCTCAGGGGATGTTGGAGGCCCAGTGCATGGTTTTGGCCCGATCCCCACAGGTCAGGCTGAGGGACCCCACCAGTGCACGAATCGTGCACCGGGCCTCTGGCATGCATATAAGATCTTTGGTTAATCTCTTCCCGCCCTTCCCTCTGAGATTCATCATTCTATTCCATGTTTCCATGCCTGTGCATTGATCGTCTGCCCCTGGTGGTCAGTGCGCATCATAGCTACCAGTTGAATAGTCGAACAGTCACTTAGGCTTTTATATATATAGATAGATTCTAAAGTAGAGGGACCTGGGATTGAACTCTTACAGAAAGCCTAAATTGTCATTACAATCTTGGTGTGTTTGTTTTCTGGAAAACATATAAAACAGACCATTATAGAGTAAACTATATCTTCCCACAGGGCAGCTGATTATTGAGAGTTGTGTTTCTGAGATATAGTTGTAAATCTCTATTTTGTTTATGATTTGTTGTTGGTGTTGTTAATCATCATTGGAGGATATTTTTCCATTGATCTTTTTTTTAAGAGAGAGTGGAAGAGAGAGGAAAAGATAGAAAGATCGATGTGAGAGAAACACATCTATTGGTTGCCACCTGTGCACACCCTGACCATGGCCAGGGTCAGGGAGGAGCCTATAACCAACGTACATGCCCTTGACTGGATTCGAACCCAGGACCCTTTGGTTCACAGGCCAATACTCTATCCACTGAGCCACACTGGCTAGGGCTCTATAATTTTTTAAATAGGAAAATATTATCCAATTTTACTAAATCAGCATATGTGCATTTTGCACATAACGCCAAAATAAAGCATAAATGTGTATATGTGCACATAAGAAATGATAATTTGATTTAGAAATAAATGCCATGGTGTTAAATACTGAAATAATGCTTTTGGGGTCTTCCAAGTACAGACCTTATTCTACTTTCACCAGTTTTCCTACCAGTGTCTTGTTTCAGGACCCAATCCAGGATTCAGTTTTGCATTTAGTTGTCATGTCTCTGTAATCTACTTCAGTCTGTTACAATTTCTCAGTTTCCCTTGTCTGTCATGACCTTGACACTTGAAGAATACTGGTCAGTTGGCTATTTTGTAGAAAATTCCTCCATTTGTTTTAGTCTGAAGTTTTCTCATGATTAGAATGTGGTTATGTATTTTTTTCAAGAATGCAACAGATATCATGCTGTGTGCCCTTCTCAGTGCATTATATCAGAGGGTTCGTGATGTATTGCTACCATTGATATACAGATAATGTATATCTTAGTTTGCACTGCTGTAATATGCCATAGACTTGGTGGCTTAAATAGCAAACATTTATTTCTCAGAGTTCTGGAAGCTGAGAAGTGTAAGATCAAAGTGTTTGGTGAGGTCCTGCTTTTTAGTTTGCAGGTGGCCATCTTCCCCATATATCCACATGATAGAGAGAAGAGGGAAAGCAAGCTCTCTTGTGTCTCTTATAAGGACACAAATTTCATTCATGTGCTCCACACATGCCTCTCCTCCAGATATTGTCAGATTCGTTAATACAATAATATAATGATATACAAAGTTATGGAAATATGTTAAAATTTGTGCTGTTAACCTTGAATACTTGGTGTCTACTGGCTTTCTCTTTAGTAAAATTAATTTCCCTTTGTAATTAATAAATATCTTAGGGGAGATACTTTCAGACTATGCAAGTAGCCGAAAACTTTCATTCACTAATTTTAGTATCCATGGGAGAATCTTGTCTTTTCTACAATATTAATAGAAATTCTTGTGTAATGAAGGGCTATTCCTTCTCCCCCCACTTATTTGTTTATTAAATTATATCAGCAGGGATTTGTAGATATTTTATTCTAGGTTTATAATACAACTAGAGGTCCGATGCACAAAATTTGTGCAAGAGTAGGCCTTCACAGCCGCAGCTCCTCAATCCCTCCCTTGCAGCCACAGGCAGCTGTCTTGCTCCTACGGCTGCAGCCCCCCCGACCCCAGCTTCATCTGGAAGGTCGTCCAGAAGGACATCCAGACAGTCATTCTGCTGTTTGGCTGTTCAGTTGATTTGCATATTACGCTTTTATTACTATAGATATTATTTATTTTGTTGCTCAAATTCTTCCAGTTTAGGCCATAAGGAGTTCCTTCAATTAGCTCCTGTGTCTTTTTGACATTTCCCCCTTTTTTTGAGCTGTGGTTCTTTTTATTGGAAAATGTTGTTTAGCCATTATACTTAACTGAATCTCTTCACCAATGAGAGCACCCTTTTAATACTTTTTAAAAAAATTATTGTTTAAAGTATTACATATGTCTCCTTTTTCCTGATTGACACCCCTGAGGGCAAGCCCCTACCACCCCAGTGTCTGTGTCCATTGGTTATGCTAATGTGACACTTCAATATTCTTTGCTAGTCAACAATTTATGGTCTGTGTTGAATATGTTAAATCACAGAAATCTTAAGAGGACTATTTGCCACTTTGTGGATAGTTTTCAGTACACAGCAACTCATGTATATATGTAAAAATAATAGGTTGGTAAAGACTTTAAAAAAAAAGAAGTTTGAAAATATCCATTACAGATTCTTTTAAAAGAATCCTGACCACCTATGTAGCTTAAGTGCTATTGCCTTCTTGGGATGTAGATAAGATCAGTGCTAATTAAGTTATGAGTGTTTTTTAGGTAGCAAGGAATGTGTGGCCCATGAAGAGATGGAAAACCAGTATTCTGTGTGTCAAACATATTTAAAAGTGTGTAGAGAATAATGTATTTAAAATTCTAGTTATTGCTCACCTGATAATCAGCTCCATTTACACACCTGAAAAGAGCAGGTTGACTTACCTGCTCTTTGGGGATGTTTTCTAAAAATCTTTGATTTTAAATGTACTAAATGAATGCATTACAAACATAAGTACTATTCATTTTGAAAGAGCAAAAACTAGAAAGATATGGCACACTGTTAATAACGATTACCTCTAAGTAACTTCATCTGGGAACTAGGTAAAGGGAGGTGATAAGTTATGCACAACATTTAAAAACACTCTGTTGACATGTATTGTTAGGATTTTTGCATTAATTTTGTATTGGGGAGAATATTACAAAATATAACATTTTGCCCCCAAATTTGGATGGTTAATTGATCATCTGTTTTAACCTTAGAGCTGTACCCTGTCTGGAGGAAAACATCATGGTCCTGTTGAAGCCCTGAAACAAATGTTATTTAATCTTCAAGCCGTACAAGAAAGTTTTAATCAGAATAAAACTGTGGAGCCAAAAGGAGAGATTAAACAAGTAAGCACAAACTTGATTTATGAATTTGGATCTGTGAAGAGATAAGAATTCTTTCTAGAACGTCTTTAATTAGACCTCCAGTTTTATGTTAATAAGCAGGCCACATAACACATGTTGTAGAGTTGGATTATTCTTTTTTTTCCCCCCCAGAAACTTATTCACATTGAATACTGTTAGATTTCTGCAGTTGTATATCCATGAATGGATTGTTTTATTTAGTTTATGGTTATAAATACACCATCTCATTTAGATATGATGATATCACAACTATGGTATGAACGGATTATAAAAGTTGTTTTTGAATTGCCTACAAAATTATTCTCTGTACTCCAACTTGTATTTATAAATTGGGGAGATCTAGAAAATCTTTTTTTTTTTTAAATCCTCACCCAAGGACATTTTCATTGATTTTTAGAGAGAGAAAAATATCGATGTGAGAGGGAAATATTGATTGGTTGCTGCACCTGTCCCACTTGGGGACTGGTATCAAACCTGCAACCCAGACATGTGCCCTGACTGGGAATCAAACCCAAGACTTTTTAGAGTATGGGACAGTACAACCACCCACTGAGCCACACTGGCCAGGGTGAAAACGTTTCAACATTAGACTTCTCCACAGACCTTTGTCATCTGAAATTTAATTTTGGTGCCATGTGTTTATTGACTTCTGAATACAGTTATGTAAAGTTTTATTTTGAAAACATTGAATTTTTTTATATTTCCTAGGAATTTGGAAATCTGTTTCTGCTTTGGCTACTGTTCTTTAGGGATTGAATTTTTTCACAATAATATAGTTTTTATGAATATATTCTTATTCATAACTTGGGAGAATATTTATATAATCCCAAGTTTGATTAAATTCTAATTCTGCCACTTCTAGTTTCTGTTTTCTCTTCTGAAAAATGAGGTTGTTAAGCCCTAGCTGGTTTGGCTTAGTGGATAGAGTGTCAGCCTGTGGACTAAAAGGTCCCAGGTTTGATTCCAGTCAAGGACACATACCTGGGTTGTGGGCCCGACCTCAGTAGGGGGCATGCAGGAGGCAACCGATCAATGGTTCTTTCTCATCATTGATATTTCTATCTCTCTTCCTCTCTCTCTTCCTCTCTGAAATCAATAAAAATATATTTGGGGAAAAAAAGGTTGTTGAGAAATTGAGACAGATTATATAAAGTACTTATTATAGTGCTTGGCACCTGATAAAAGTTTAATAAATACCTTATCCTATAAAATTAAAGCCTAATATGCTAAGTGTCTGGTCAGCCAGTTGGCAGTTCAGCCAATCAAAGCATAATATGCTAATGATATACTAAGGCCACTCAGCTGCTCACTATGACGTGCACTGACCACCAGGGGGAGATGCTCCAACCAGTAGGTTAGCTTGCTGATGGGGTCCAGCTGATCGGGACTAAGCGAGATGGGCTGGACATGGCCTGGTGCCCTGCTTCGGTCCCTCCCTGGCTGGCTAACCTCCTGCGTCCCTCGCCAGCCCCTATCATGCACCGGTGGGGTCGCCTGGCCTGTGCCCTCTCGCTATCGGGGACCCCTCGGAATGTCAGAGAGCCAGTTTCAGCCCGATTCCTGCAGACCAGGCCAAGGGACCCCACTGGTGCACCAATTCATGCACCGGGCCTCTAGTTAATAAAATAATTACCCTAGTAATAAAAACATTAAAAAACTTAAATAGTAATACTTAAATTGTTTAAATATAAGAATGCCTTAAAATACTTAATAAATGTTTTTATTGTCATTATTTTGATAGGATTATTCAGTAGAGCTTTCTGAAATTCAGTTTTCATTACAAATAAGTAGGTTAACTCTTGGAGACTATCATGGCCTGCTCTTTGGAGTTGTATTTCTTAATTTTTATCTTTCCATTCTAATGATCATAACAGTAACATAAAATGTGTAATTTATTTTTCTTTCCTTCCCTTTTTAAACATTGAGACAAGACTGAGTTCATTATAAAGTCATAATTTCAAACCAAGATTTGATTTTTTTATTGGACATAATTTAAAAGCATACTATAGGACAATTTAAAGATGAATCTAAATATAGTTATATTATTTTTAGAAAAAATATGTAATACTTTACTGAAAATTTTTTGCTAGATTTCTTTGGGAACAAAGACAATATTTTTTTACTGTTCTTTTAAGTCACATATTAAATAGCATTTATGTTTATAATTATATTTAAATTTTCAGTATTTTGTTTCATTTGGTCTTTTTAATAATAGGTTTCAGAAGATGATTTCTCTAAATTACAATTGAAGGAAGGTATGGTTCCGATTACTAGGTCACTTCAAAAGTAAGTATTCTCTAGTAATTTCTGAATATGTTATGGGTACAAATCTATTTTAGCCATCTCTTAGATTGAAATCAGAAGGTTTCAGGATGGAATTAAGTAGTTATAAGGATATTAAACTTCTTGGAACATACTGTTTAATCCTGAAGTTATCTCTTAAACCTGTGTTTTTCCCTATTTAAAATGTTCTTAGGACCTAATGAGATAACCTTAGACACCTAAAATATAATGATGTGAATGGCCTTAATTAATGCTCTTCTATTTCTGAACAATAACAACAATTTGAGCTAGTATTGGTGTGGATGTCCTGGAAAAACACCTTGATCATGACATGTATTTTCATATATTCCTTCTAATTTAGTGGTTCTCAACCTTGGCTGCACATTAGAATCACCTGGGAATCTTTTTAAAATCCTGATTTCTGGGCCTCATCCTCCGGAAATTCTGTTTCTTTGTTACTAATGTTGTGCCCCGCCCCATAACCAAGAAACAGAATTTCTGGAGGACGAGGCCCAGAAATCAGGATTTTAAAAAGATTCCCAGGTGATTCTAATGTGCAGCCAAGGTTGAGAACCACTGTTCTAGAAGAAATACAATAATCATAAATAATTATTTGACCTATATCCACAGAAAACTAAAGTAGATATAATGTTGTGGATATAAAGATAATCTAAATGCCCTAAAGGTGTTAATCCACCTATTTTCTTAAATTATCTTAAATTAAAAATTGGGAAGGAATACATGTCTTTCTTAATTGGCAGAGGGAGGGTATTTATTTATAGGTTTGGTTGTATGAATATAAAGTGCATTCAGAAGATGGTATACTGAGCTTGGGAAAAGCTAAGATGAAAATTTTTTTACTTTCATAACACCATTTCACTTGGCTGTATACAGTGTTGTATCATGACCCTTAAATTGATGTTTTCCCCATTAGCCTGTTTTTCACCTTTTTAGGAAAAAAAATAAAGAATTATTTCCTTCTACAATTTTATCCTCCACTTCTCTAAGTAAATTATTTATTGTCAGCAGGGCAGATAGAGGTTAAATGACAGGAACTGACAGCTGATTGTGTAGCCAAGGTAGGGAGACTGAAGATTTCATTTCTGCTTAACTTTCTTATTCCTTCCCATCATACCTCACCTCTCCCCTCTACTTCCCTCCCTCCTTTCTTCTATTTTTAAAAAAATTTTTTTTTTCTTATTGATTTCAGAGAGGAAGGGAGAAGGGAGAGAGAGAGATAGAAATGATGAGAGAAAATCATCAATTGGCTGCCTCATCCACGCCCCTGCTGGGGATCAAGCCCACAACCCAGGTATGTGCCCTTGATCAGAATCAAACCTGGGACCCCCCAGTGCCAAACCGGCCAGGGCTCTTCCATTGTTTTTTTAAAGGTATAAAACAAACTACATAGGACTAAAAAGGAACCAGGTATATTGAATTATAGTTATGAAAATATTAAAATAAATTGCTAATTAGTATTATGTGCTTATTAATGCATTTAAAGTAAGACAATACATTTAAAATCTAGGTAAGTTAAAATTCATTTTGTAAAAACATAATATGAAGGCCTTTTGCATTGCTTGAATAAAAGCATTAAATTATGGCATGGTCTTTTACTTATTTCACATGTTGATCAGCAAACAATTAGAGAAAGGAAATATTGGAAAGCATTGATTTCTGGGTCACCAGTGATACCTTACTATTCAATGAATAAACAACTAGGCTTAAAATTATCTAGTGGTTGATCAGTTATATGAACTTTTGGATATAGACAGAAAGACTTAGATAACATAGGTTCTAATAGTTGGTTTAATACCTATTGTAATTTTGTAACTATCATATGACTTATAATTTTGAAGTAGTGATGAGTTTAAATGATTTTGATATTCCTGTAATGATTGTAATGTGACATGAAAATATCTCCAGTTTCTGTGGCATATGAGGTCACAGATTTGGTTTGTTGCTTACATACATAATGGAAAGAAATTCTAATTTATAGGTGATATTTAGTGAATATAAAGATGAGGATGTTTTTTCTCTATCCATTTTCAAAGTCCTTTAAACCCAAGGGGTCTGGCCATTGGGGTTGTAAGTAAGATAAGATTCTAGTCACTTGCCTTTTTCTTTCTCTTGAACCACAAGTAGTTGAATAATACACCTGAAAATAAAAGGGAAGATAATTCCCAAGTATATTTGCAAATTGTCTTTTTTTCTCATACCTGTATGCCTCTAGGAAGAAAATAATTCTTTAGGTAGAGAGATATACTATAGGATGTAGAAATGATAGGGTCTAGTTAATTTTACCTCTGATTGCTTAGTAACTTCGGGTGAGTTATTGTCATTTAGTTAAAGCAAATGAGAATCTCAAAAATTAACTGAAGTTGCCAAGGGTAGCAGAATCCAATTTCTTCTTTTATCTATATACTAGAGGCCCAGTGCACAAAAATTTATGCACTGGGGAGGTTCCCTTAGCCTGGCCTGCACCCTCTTTCAGTCCGGGACCCCTTAGGGGGTGTCCACCTACAGGCTTAGGCCCGCTCCCCGGGGAGATTGGGCCTAAGCTAGCAGTCAGACATCCCTCTGGCAGCCTGGGAGCCCTTGGGGATATCAGTTGGACATCCTTAGCGTTGCCAAGGAGGTGGGAGAGGCTCCCGCCACCACCGCTGCGCTCACAGCCATCAGCCTGGCTTATGGCAGTGGAGCTCCCCCTGTGGGAACGCATTGACCACCGGGGGTAACTCCTGTGTTGAGCATCTGCCCCCCCCAGTGCACATCATAGCAACCAGTCATTCTACCTTTAGAGTCAATTTGCATATTACCTTTTTATTATCCTATCCTATCTAATAAAAGAGAAACATGGTAATTGGAGTATGACCACTACCCTTCCCATTGGCTAATCAGCGAGATATGCAAATTAACTGCCAGCCAAGATGGCGGCCAGCAGCCAGGCAGCTTGAAACTAACATGAGGCTTGCTTGCTTCAGTGACGGAGGACTCCAACGTTCCCTACCTGCCTTGCCGGCCCTCTGATAAGAAACATTGTAAAAATACAGAAGCTAAACAAAACCCTAGAAACCTGCTTTCAGTGAGCCCGGGATCTCAGAGCAGGAGTTGATATGTTGTTTCGATTATAGAACCGAAACAAACCAGATACCTGCTTTCAGTAGTGGAGGCCTAAGAGCTGGACCTCAGAGCTAAAACTGGCCCAGAATAAAAAAAGAAAAAAGAAAAAAAGGAGCGGTTGGGAGGTTCCGTCACCCGCCAGCCTGAAAACAGCCCTCAGCCCCTCACCCAGACTGGCCAGGCACCCCAGTGGGGACCCCCACCCTGAATGGTGTGTGACCAGCTGCAAACAGCC